CCTTTGAATATACAAAAAATGGAGTCCAATGAATTTTCACTGGAGAGAATAAACATTAAGTGACATCCTTATAGTCATTATCTTGATCTTAGATAAAAAATCAAACTGCAGATTTTAGGGAGTTGGTGACAGAAGTGTACTTATTAGCATCACAACAAGTGAATAAGGGACATTCATGTATTGCTCTGACACTTATTTTTCTTAATCAAGGCATTTTTCTTAATCTAGAGATTTACAACTGCTTGTGAATTATTTGCTAACATATCACTGAATATCATGGAAAGTTAATTTGTACCACCCCAAGGTATTTTCCAGATCTGTAACTAGGGGACACTGATTAGTTCTTTTTTTTATTAGGCTATCATTACTTTAAGAATTATCAAACCACCAATAACTTTCTGTGACTAATCCTACTTGTTCCACAGAACCAGTCACTGAAGTTTGCTTTTATCTTTTCCAAAGTATTACTGATCGCCTTAAAATAATAAAGATATTGCTATATTCAAGCACATCTAGAGTCTAAGTTTTGTATATTTAATATTTTTCCTTACAAAGGACATTTCCTTTACCCATGAATCATGTTTGACTCTCCCTGCTTTTGAAATATTGCTCCTGGCACATACTAAAATTAAAGAAAACTTACTTTTTATTTTCACTTTGAAAAGAGAAAGTATATTGGACCAATTATTTTTACAGCCATCTAGAATGGACTATTTAAATGCTCAACTATTTTATCTAAAGTCTTGAAATAAAGATAAACGGATTCCCATAACTTTACTAATTCATCTGATGTTTTATATTACTCTCTCCTGAAGCTTAATTGACTGAAAATTTTCTTCTCTTTGATGCAATACTACTTTTCAAATATAAGAATAATATTTATTTTTAGATCTCACTTGATTTCTGCAAAATAACAAAATAATCTACTGAACCATAGCACCCTGAAGCCATACACTATCACCATTATTTTCTCCAGTGTCCTATAGAGTTTCTGGTACATAAAAGGCATTGTCTATTAATGTTTAATAGGTTACATTTGCATAGTACTTTAGAATTTACAAAGGGCTTTCACATATTTTATCTCCTTCAATTATCTCAATTGCCACAGGAAGAATGTACAGCAACTGAAGATCCTAGGTAAATTCTTTCTAGCTTAATTCTTCAGCATTCCACATGATGATACAACAGAAAGTGGCATTTAGGAGTCCAAATTAAAATAGTTATCAATAAAATAATAGTATGTATGTGCAAACCATTGATAAGGTGATATAATAAAATTCTTCTTTAAAACTGGTTCCAGAAATAGAAATGATCTATTGCTTAAAATCCAGGGCAAAGA